ACACAGCAGGCCTCGTGGTCTATTTCTAGCTCTGTGCTTGGAGGTCAGTTCTGGAGGTGTTTGGCGACCAAGTGGTGGCAAGGATCAAACCCAGGGCTCTGACATCAGACCCTTTGGGCCATCTCCCCACCCCTCTAATATATATTTTTTAGATATTCTCAGTGGTTCTTGGGATCACTCCTGGTTGTACTTGGGGTTTCTGCACTGTTTCCCTGGCCTCTCAAATCTATCTTTGAGGAGGAGTTATTGGCCATCCCGGCAAGTGCTCATTCAGTGTCCTGGATGAGGAATCACATGCAAAAGTCAGGGCCCTTTGCCCCCTCGTTTTTTTTTCCCTTTTGGGTCACAACCGGCAATGCACAGGGGTTACTCCTGGCTCTGCAGCCAGGAATTACCCCTGGTGGTGTTCGGGGGACCATATGGGATGCTGAGAATTGAACCTGGGTTGGCCCCATGCAAGACAAATGCCCTACCTGCTGTGCTATCTCTCCAGTCCCTACCCCCTCATTTTTTATTGTAGTGAAAACTCGCTGCATGGCAAAGCCTGAAAACTACCTGTGACGTATTTGATATGCCAAACACAGTAACAACAAATCTCACGATGGAGACATTACTGGGTCCGCTTGAGCAAATCGATGAACAACGGGAGGACAGTGCTACAGTGCAGTGCAGTAAAAATCACATAGAATTTACTTTTGTTATTTTAAGTTTTTTTTTGGGTGGGGGGGGCACACTGGTGGAACTCAGGGCTTACTCCTGATTTGGTACTCAGGGATCAGTCCTGGCAGGCTTGGAGGACCAAAGGAGGTGCTGCGTGTTGAACCCAGGACTGCCCCATGCAAGGTATGCACCCTATCCACTGGACATCTTTTTTTGCCTCAAATGTATCATCTTTATAACTGTAAACCTACAGGTCAGTACTGTTACACAAATTCATTTTTTTTCCTGCTATTGTGCTCTCGAATTTTCCTTTTCATCTTACAAAACTGAAATTCCATTTTGATCATTCCTTAATTCTTCTCTACTCCAACCGCTGGACACCATCCTTCTACTGTTTTGTTTGTTGGCTTCTTTTTAGGCTTTTTGGGTCACACCTGGCAATGCTCAGGGTTAAGGCCTGGCTCTGCACACAGGAATTACTCCTAGTGGTGCCCGGGGGACCCTGTGGGATGCTGGGTCGACCGTGAGCAAGGCGAATGCCCTACTCTGATCTGTCCTTTTATTTTTGTTTCTCCTTCCTCTTCTCTTCCCTACTTTTTTCTCTGTGGGGGCTGCTTGGCGGGAGTGGCAATTAAGAAAGGGAAGAAAAGGCTGAGATGCTGGATATATTCTGAAGGCAAAGCAGGATTTCCAGGTGGAGGGAAAGTGGAGTTAGAAAAACCGGACAGAGTGTGTCCCAAGCAATGATGAGGATGAAGTTGTCCACCATGGGCCGGGGGAGAGTGCCGGGCGCTTACGTTGTGGGAGGCCAGAAATCTAGTTGTGGACATGCTGTGTTTGAGATGAGAGCAAAGGAGGAACGAGAGGAGGCCCAGGAGAAAAGCCTAGGCAGAAACTCTCTGTTTGCAGACCTTTGCCTGGTTGAAAACAGTATTTAAGGCTCTAGACAGGAAAGGGTGGGAGTGTAGAGATGAAAACTAAGCAGGCGTGGCCAGGGGCCTAGGTGAGAGTATAGCGGCTGTAGGGTGTTTGTCTTCCAGCCCGGGTTTGATCCTGAGCTCCACCTATGGTCCAACACTGCTAGGAGTGATCCTTGAGTGCCAAATCAGGAGTAAGCCCTGAGCACCACCAGTGTGCCCCCCTTACCCCCCCAAAACTTAAAATAACAAAAGCAAATTCTATGCGATTTTTACTACAAGAAAAAATGAGGGGGCAAGGGGCCCTGACGTTTGCATACGGTTCCCCATCCAGGACTGACCCCTGAATATTTCCAGGAATGGCCCAATACCTCCCCCTCAAAGATAGATTTGAAAGGCTGGGTATTTCCACTACCACTGGAGGGAAAAAAAAAAAAAGGCATGACCAGAGATGGAGGAGGGAACTAGAGAAGGAAGAGGGGGTTGAGATGGGGAGTATTTGCTACTCTCAAAACAGATTCAGATTGGACCTCTATTCCTAGAAGCCGAGGGCGGGTTTTCCAAGACTCCATTTCTATCTGGCCGACACTTCAGAGTTCCGAAGAGTTGAAGGGCACCACTGTTTGCCCCCACCCCTCCCCCCTGATAAAAGCCTGGCCATTCATTCCGAAAATATTTGCTAAGATCCCATGGAGATGTCAGCCCTAGACTTGTCACCATGTGGACAAGCCAGAGGAGGTGTGTGCCTTTTGGAGAGTTTATCCTTGAAGGTCAGAGTGTGGGTGGAGAACATTCAACAAATAAAGGGACAAGATACACTTTCTCATGGGGGTGAGTAGAGAGATTGATCCACTTTGGGGATCAGAAAGGCTTGCAGGCTGAAGCTGAGATGTGTGTGTGTGTGTGTGTGTGTGTGTGTGTGTGTGTGTGCGCGCGCGCGCGCGCGCGCGCGCGCGCAGTGGGGGGGGGGGCTGTGTGTGAGAAGATGCGCATTAGATATGGGGGTGAGGAGCCTGGCAGTGTTGGGGGAGGTTGACCTGGTAGGGGAGGTTGCAGGAAATTTGGGGTTTTCCAAGTGTGATGGCAAGTTGTTAGTGGGGTTAAGCAGAAGATTAAGTTGTCTACAGTCTAAGATTTGTGTTTGGTTTGGGGGCCCCACTCGGTGATTCTAGGGCTTAGTCCTCCTGGCTCTGTCTGTGCTGAGGGATCACTCTGGGACTCAGGGGACCAAATGTGCCAAGGATGGAACTCGGGTTGGCCGTGTCCCCCGGAAGCACCCTACATGCTGGACTAACTCTGGTTCCATCTCTGAAGGTTTCTGGAATGTCTGGTGTGGGTCAGTGGGAAAAGAAACTGCAGGGGGCAGAGTGGAGACCTGGGAGAAGCGTTACCAGGCGCCTCCAGCTCAGGTAACAGTTATGATTGATGTCCAGGGCGCACCTGGGGTTGGATGGTGGTCAGGCAATCACAAGTCACTGCTGCTTCTGAAGGTCAAGATTCCTAGAAGGTCACTTTCCTAACTGCAACCACGTAGGAAACAGTCCTTGCTCTCAGGCTACTTGGGGGTTAATGCTAGGAAAATCAGAGCGCACACACGCAACCTAGTCTCGTAAACTCACCCAGCCCAGTGGGTGACTAGGTGCAGGCTCTGCACGCGGCTCGTAGCCTCCCTCGGGGAGAGGCAGCAGCGGCCCGGCCGAGCCCACGCCCGCCGGTGCCGGAACGTGTAAGAACTTGGCTCCAGGCTCCACTTTCCCAACTCTGGGGAGCTCAGGAGCGCGGTGACTCAGGGGAGGTCCCTCTGCGCTCTGAGTTCTGGGCGGGAGTGACTCACGACCTCCCTCCCTCCCGGCGAAGCCCAGCCAATCTCATAATGAGTCCACACCTCCGACGCCCCGCCAATTGCCGGGGTGAGTTTTCAACTCCCCGGGGCAGGAGTCCCGGCAAGCCTCGGTCCGGGTTCCTGGAGAAAGAAAGAGAGAGGGACAGGTTTGTCGCAGGGTCCGGAGGAGCTTCTGACCCTCGGAGAGACCTCAGGCCCGCAGGTGTTTCCCGTGCATGCTCCCAATTCCCGACGCATTCCAACGGCACTTGGCGCCGAGGACAGCTTGGCCAACCTCCGTGTCCCGGAAACATTTTTTTTCCCCTTTGTAAAAACCCGAACTGGAGGGCTGGCGAGCAGCGCAGCGCCCCCACTCCCCAGTCTGCAGAGACCCGAGGCGCCCGGGAAGCGACAGCGGGAGGGCAGGGTGGGGGACACGGGGACCTCGCGCGGGTGCTCCCGCTCGCCCCGCGCACCCACCCAGAGCCGCGGGGACCAATCCAGCAGAGAGCGGGACCGCGGAGGGGGCGCTCGGCGGGGTCCCCGGGCCACCTCAGCGCCCCTCAACCCCCGCGCGCATCCTCGGCAGCCGGCGACTCCGCGCACGCCCCCAGCAACTTATGCGCGCGCGAGGCGCCCGCGGCCCTTCCTGGCAGGTGGAGCCGCGCGGGCGCATGCCCCTGGGAAACCCCGGGACCCTCTTGGGGACAACCCCCCACCCCACCTTTCCCGAATGACCCGGCTCGCGATGTCACAGTGAGCACGCGGCCGCAAGAGCCCCAAGCCACACTCCTCGGGGAGGCGTCCCTCACGCCGAGGGGCGCGGGGCGCGTGGCCGGCCGGAGGTGGGGAGGACAGTCCACTCCGGGGGAAAAGTTGCCGGGAGCTCCCTCCGGACCCCGCTCAGCCCGCCGCCCGCGCGGGGCTCCCGGGTGGAGTCGGGGACACGGTGCCCGCGCGGGTCCTCCTCTCGGGGTCTGCGTGCCCGGAGCGCGCCGCGCCGGCCGGGCTGCAGGGCGACCCCCCGGGGTGGACGCGCCCTGGAGGTGCGGGACGCTCGGAGCCCGCCGCCGCCGCGCGTGGGGAGCAGTCACAGACGCATCCATGCGCATCAATAAATCAAGGAGCCGCTCGGGGCCGCCCGCGGCGGGGAACCCTCGGGCTGATTAAATGCAGACGTGGGGTGTCTGCCCGGGCCCGGACGAGGGCGGCGCGGCCAAGGCGAGGGGCTGCTGCCGCTGCTGCCGCTGCTGGAGGTGGTGGCGGTGGAGGGCGGGGAAAGGAGGCTGGAGCAAGGAGAGAGGGGGAAAAAAAAAAGAAAAACAAAAAAAAGAAAAAAAAAAGAAAAAACAACTCCCAAGCTACGGTTTCTTTTCTTTTCTTTTTTTTTTTTGGAAAAAGGGGGTGAATTTTCCATGCTCGCGGGCCGCGGGCCGCGAGGGGGGCCGCGGCGGCGACCGCCCGGGCAGGCCCGCCACCCGGGGCAACTTTCGGGGCGGGAGGCGCGGCCGCAGGGGCGGCGCCGGCGGCGGGAGGCGGGCGCCGGGGGCCGGCGGGGGGGAGTCACTTTAAAGGCTCTTTCCTACCCACAATGCTTTGTGGGGACGTTGACAAGTGGATCCAAGATGGCGTAGAAAGTAATGACAGGTAAGTCCCGACTTCCCGGTCCCCCGCGGCCGGGCGCGCGCGCCGGGGCGGCGGGGCCGTGCGGGGCGGCGGCGGGGCGCGGCGGCGGCGGCGGCGCGGGGGCGGCGGCGGCGGGGGGCGGCGGGGCGCGGGCGGGCGGCGGCGCGCGGCGGCGCGGGAGGCCCGGGCGCCGGCCGCTGTTTACCGCCGCGGCGCCTCCCCGGGGCCGCTTCCCCGCCGGGCCCGGGCCCTGGGGGTGGCGCGGGGGTCCGGGCGCCCCGCGCCGGGGCGGTGCGTGCGTGCGTGCGCGCGCGCGCGCGCGCGCGGGTGCAGGGCTGTGTGCGTGTGTGTGTGCGTGTGTGTGTGTGCGTGTGTGCGTGTGCGGGACCGGGGGGGGGGGGTCGCTCCCTCCAGCCCCCGGCGCTCGGGGCGCGCTGCCCCTGCTGCGGGTCGCCGTCCCGGGCTACTCCCGGGCCCTCCCACGCCCCGCGCCCCCACTCCCGGCTCGGACTTCCCGCGGGGCCGGGCGCCGGCCTCGGCCGGCTCCGGGGTGGGCGTGGGGGGCGGGAGGGGGGAGAAAAGTGGGTCAGGGGTGCGCCCCCTTTCCTCCCTCGCCCGCGGCTGTGGCCCGTGCTTCACTTTCTCCACCTCCCACTCCCCCCCTCCTTTTTCTCCGCCCCCCACCCCCACCTCCTCGGAAATTCTTATTGGCCCGCAAACACATCAACAAAAATAAAAACAGGCTGTTCTTTCCTGCGGGGGTTTCTTCAAAAGAGACTCCCCTTTCCGAGGGCTCCAGGCGTTACAGTTGCACCTAGAGAACTTTGATTTCTCCCCCTCCTCTCCCCTCCCCTCCCCTCCCCCCGCGCGGGGTCGCTCTCCCCCGGCACCCCTCTCTTTGCTGACGACCCTGCCTCTTGGGCTTCCAGTCCGCGGCTTCTTCCTGGATGGGGATCCTCCAAATGGGCATCCTTGGCCCCCTTCCGTCTCTACTTTTTAAGGCAAAGCTTCAGTAAATAAAACTCCGGACCCCCTTCCCCGCCCCCACTTCCCACCCCGGATTCCTGGGAGGGGGGAGGGGAAGGAGTTGCCCGGGCTAGTGAGTTTTCATTTTGCCCTTTCTTCAACTCACATTCTTGACTTTTCCTCCCCTTTTATCCCTTCTCCCCCCCCCCCCCCACAAAGAAAGGTGCTGAGATGACTTTCTTATGGGGAATGATGGATACTTTTTAGCACTGGGATACTTTGATCACTTCCGAAAGGAAAGATCTTCATTTTAAAGGGGAACAGGCTCATTTGCAAAACTGTGCCCTGGCCCTCCCACTTCGTTAACTTTCCCCCATTGGAAATGTAAATACCCTTTCTCTTGCCTTGGTGAGATGTTTGTGGCTGTGCGTGGTGGCCTTTTACTGGCTTTGTGTCCACCTGTGTTAATTCTCTGTTTGCCTCAGGAACTGGATGAAGTCATTGATCACTAATGAACTACAGTGCTGGTGAGATGTGTAAGGTGAGATCACGCTTAAAAACCTTTTAACTTTTCCTCTTCTATTCATTTCCACCAACTCACAAGGGTAAGGACCAAACCAAGCCTTTCCAGTGTCGCCATCTTTCTTTCCTAGTATCTCAGTTAAATAGGTGTCTCCACCGGGCTGGATTTAGGAAGGAAAACTGAGTCCCGTGTCCACCGTGGCCTGCATGCCTGCAGCCAGGATGGAGCTTATTCAGAGCACACACTATTTGCAAATGTCCCTGATCTTATCTTTACTAGGGATAATTAGAGAGTGTCTATTTAAATCTCCTCCTGTAGCTTTCTTTTTTAATGGTATAGTTTCTTTTTTTTTTTCTTTCAGTGTTTTGGATTTTATTACTTATACATGGAGTCTGAGTGATAGTTTGTGTGGAGTCTGTGGGACTCCTGGATAAATACCCTTTACATTGGAAAGAATTTTTTTGTTTTGTTTTGGGCTGTACCCAGCGGTGCTCAGGTCTTACTCCTGGCTGGGGGATGTGTAGGGTGCTGAGGCTTGAACCCATGTCAGCAGCATGCAAGGTAAGCACCCTAACTCTGGGGAAAGTTTTTAGTTAAGTCATTCACTCCCTTTGGTGCCAGAGCATTAGTACAGTGGGTAGGGCGCTTGCCTTGCATGAGGCTGACCTGGGTTCCATCCCTGGCATCCCATATTGTCTCCTGAGCACTGGCAGGAGTAACTCCTGAGTGCAGAGTCAGGAGTAAGCCCTGAGCATTGCTTGGTGTGATCCCCTCCACTACCAAAAACGACCACTCCTTTGTTTTCAGGAAAATGGAACATATATCTTGGCATATTTCAATATTCCAATACTGTCTCTTAGTTAGGTGTAAATAAAAATGGTAGAGTGTTGAGCTTCATTTAGCTTACTAAGGGTACGACTGGTTTGTGATTATTTTCTTATAGGTAGCGTATTTAATCTGACTTATAGTTCTTTGGGTTTAAAAAACTTTATTTAGTGTTGTAAAGATGGCTAATTTCTGCACTTTTTTTTTACAAGTGATTTTCTCAATAGTAAAAATAGTAAATAGTAAAAAATCATTTTTACTATTTCTTTAGAAATTGTAAGTTATGTTAAAATGATTGGTTATGCAGGTGTTTTTTTCTTATACATCTGGGCAACCTTTAGATTTTTAGTCTTCTCACAAATGTTTCAGAGCTCATAACATTTGTGTGAGAAGAATAAATTGCCTTGTTTTTTCCAGATTGAGGCATACAATTGACATTTTGCCTTTAAAAAAAAATGGGAGAGGAAGGTGAAGATAAATGGAGGTTCTTAGATGAGTACACACACTGTTTTTGCTTGTGTGTAATTAACATACATTCTTATTTTTATTTTTGGTGGAAAATAAATAATTAAGAGTTTTATTTATGTTCACAGGTGGGAACATATTAATGCCTTCCACCTTTTACTATGATCTTTAATTTATTTTTTGGATTTTGCGTCATATCTGGTAGTGCGCAGGGGTTACTTCTTCCTCTGAATTCAAGGATCACTCCTAGTAGTTCTTGAGGGACCATATGGGATTCTGGGGATTGAATCCAGGTCGCCTATGTGCAAGGCAAGTGCCTCGCCCAGTGAACTGTCTCTCTAGCCTCACAGTGAGCTTCTTTTTTTTTCTTCTCCTTTTTTGGTCACTTTTTTGGTCACATCCTGCAATGCTCAGAGGTTACTCCTGGTTCTGCACTCAGGAATTACTCCTGGTGGTGCTCAGGGGGCCCTGTGGGTTGCTGGGAATCGAACCTGGGTCAGCCGCGTGCAAGGCAAATGCTTTACCTGCTGTACTATGACTTCGGCTCACTATGAACTTAAAGTGAGTTCTTTTCTTCCCCCACTCCTCTCCTTCTTTCCTTCCCTCTTGTTCCTTTCTTTCTTTCCCAGTGGTGCTCAGGGGTCTTTCCTGGGGGAGCTTGGGAGGCCGGGGATTGAACTCAGTTTTGCCATATGCAAGGCAAGTGTGCCCACCATACTATCTCTCCTGTCCCTCCTTTTTTTCTTCTTAAGTGTACAGATTACTTTGTGGAAAGAGCCAGTGATCTGCTTTCTGCCTATGGAGATAACCGTTTGTAGTTGAAAGTGGAATCTTTAGGAGTAGGTAAACTTGTGTGTCTAGTGTTGTTTGGCCTGAATTGTGTCAGGACATTTTCCATCATTTTCACACCTTATAGATCATGTGAGGTGTAGTATTAACTTCAATGTAAAGCCAGTGGTGGTGGGTCACCAAATTGCAAGCAGAGTATTCTCAAATAGGAAATGTCATTTATTGATGCTTGTGGTGAGTAGAAGTCTGTCTTCGAACTGAATAAAGACAACTTTTTATTTATTTCAAAAGTTTGGCTTCTTTTTTTAAAAACAATTTTTTAATTTGTTTCTTTGGGGCCACACCTGGTGATGTTCATGGGTTACTCCTGACTCTGTACTCAGGAATTATTCCTGGCAGTACTCCGGGGAGTATATGGGATGCTGGGGATCAAACCCAGTCAGACATATGCAAGGCAAGCACCCTACCCGATGTACTATCTGGCCCCTACAGGTAGCTTTTAATATATTAGTACTTTTCTTCCTGGGCCACTCCTGGTATTCAGGTGTGTTCAGGGATCACACTGCCAGGTTTGGGGGGCTATGGCGTGCTGGGGATCAGACCCTAATCTGCCGCATGCAAAGCAAGGACCCTACCCACTCTACTATCTCTCCAGCCCTAGGATAGCTTTTCTTTCTTTGTTTTTGTTTTTTGGGTCACACCCGGCGAGTAACCCGGGGTTACTCCTGAGTCTGTACTCAGGAATTACTCCTGGTGGTGCTCAGGGAATATGGAATGCTGAGAATGGAAACCCGGGTTGGCCACTTGCAAGGCAAACTCCCTACCCGCTGTGCCATCACTCCAGCCCCAGGATAACTTTTTAAAATGTCTGTCCTTTTGGCTGGGAACTGAGGGCACTATTTCTAGGGAAAGTTCTTTCATTAGTTTATTGGACTGTACCCAGCGGTGACTGCTCAGGGATCACTTCTGACAGGCTTCCGGCCACTGTTCTGTTACTCCAGCAAACTTTAGTTTTTAGGACTAAGGGCTGCTCATTTTCTTTTTTTTTGCCTTTTGGGTCATACCCGGCAGTGCACAGGGGTTATTCCTGGCTTTGCACTCAGGAATCACTTCTGGCAGTGCTCAGGGGACCATATGGGAGGCTGGGAATCGAGCCTGGGTCGGCCATGTGCAAGGCAAACGCCCTACCCACTGTGCTATCGCTCCAGCCCCAGTACTGCTCATTTTCAGCTGGTCAGCTTGACATGTGCAGCAGTTAGGAAGTTTAATTTGGGGTCCGGAGAGATAGTACAGAGGGAAAGCTGTTTGCCATGCATGTGGCCTACCCGGCTTCCATCTGCAACACTTACATATGGGCCCCTGAGCACTGCCAGGGGGTATCTGAGGACAGAGCCAGGAGTACGCCCTGAGCTCCTCCAGGTGTGGGCTTCCCCCTTAACTCCCCACCCCCCCCCACCCCATGCCCTCCCCGCAGTTCAACATTTCGCATAAGTATTAGGTACTAGTTAGTCTATAACTATGCCAGGCTATGTTTAACGTTCAGGGGGTACTGTGGGTGTGACTCAAATGGTAGAGCATGTTTCTAGCATCTGTGAGACCCTGACTTTGATTCCCGACAGAGCATAACTTCCCAATTCCAAGCACAAGTGTCACGGGAAGTGGCCGCCACCTTCTTTTTCTTTATTTTTTAACTTGGGGGACTGTATGTGTTACCGGGGAGTCAGCTGTGTGCAAGGCAAGTACCTTCACCCATGAACTATCTGTCTGTGGGAGTGGCCCTTAGAACAAAAAAACATTCAGATGTGGAGTCTGCACAAGAAAATAAGGTCCTTTGTAGTTTGCAGAGAAGATGAAGATTCTGGGCCAAGTTTGTCAACTTGTAGAAGCCCGAGATAGAGTACAATAAGTAGAGGTAAGGCACTTGCCTTGCATGTGGCTGACCTGGGTTCGACCCCATATGACCCCCGCCAGTGGTGAGTGATCCCAGAGCACAGAACTAGGAGTAAGGCCTGAGCATCTCTGGAAGTGGGACAAACAAATAAGCAAACCCCCCCTCCCCAGTAAATCAAAAACCCAACCAGTTTTGTGAACTTAAAGGCCCTCCCGTCGATCATCGATTTGCTCGAGCGGGCCCAGTAACGTCTCCATTGGAGACTTTGTTGTTACTGTGTCTGGCATATCGAATACTCTCGGTAGCTTGCCGGGCTCTCCGAGAGGGGCAGAGGAATCGAACTCGGGTCGGCCATGTTGGCTGCGTGCAAGGCAAACGCCCTACCGCTGTGCTATTGCTCCAGCCCTTATAATTGTGATTATATATCTTAATACATTTAGATAAATGTATAAAATTTTATGTTTTTTCTTTCTTTTTTTTTTTTTTCCCCACACTGGGCCATGCTCAGGGCTTACTCCTGACCTTGACAATATACAGTGCCAGGGGTTGAACCTGGGTCAACCCCAGAGCCCTTTGGATGCAAGGCAGGCTCCTTAACCCGCTGTACTATCTCTTGGGCCATCATATTTTGATTAGTAAGTTGTATTTTGAAATGTTTCAAGGAGGGAACTGTGACATATATAGGGAACGGCCACTTGAACTTACAGGTCATTTAAATCAAGTATAGTCAGAGTTATTTCTGTAAGCCTTGTTTAGAAACAACACCAAACATAGTTACCCATCACTTCAGGGGTGAGGTGGATAATCTAGGCTAAGCCTGAGTTTATTACTCCCTGTGGTGTGTAGGCGACCGTGTGGTGCCAAGGATTGAACTCTGGCCTCCCGCATGCAAATCCTGTCCTGAGCCAGTGAAGCTATGTCTCTGGCCCAGTTGTCCTGAATTTAATGAAGTTAATATTTCTCTTAAAAAGTAATATTGTAGTTACAGCATGAAAACAATAACACACACACAGACACACACATACACATACTGTTATCAATTGCTCATAACAAATGGAAAGTTTTTAACATGCTACTAAAGAAGTTTCTAACTTCTATCCATACTCCTGTGAATGTATTGGGTGAGTTAGAGCAGGAGACTGTCAGGTAAAATCCGAGATTGAAATATTCACTCATCATACCTTTGAGCCCAGGCAGGGTTCACTCTTGGCAGTGCTCGCGTGACCAAGGGAGGTGCTGTGGACACCTCCCATGGTCAGCTGGACAGTGTGCAATGCCAAGTGCCTGACCTGCTGAACTATAACTCTGGCCCCCAACATGGTATATTTTTGTTTCGCTTTTTTTTTTTCCGGTCACCTAGTGATGCTCAGGAGTTACTTCCTGGCTCTGCACTCAGGAACTACTCCTGGCAGTGCTTGGAGGACCATATGGGATGCCGGGGATCGAACCCAGGTCAGCCGCGTGCAAGGCAAACACCCTACCTGCTGTGCTATTGCTCTGGCCCCATGGTACATTTTTTGATAACTCATTATGGATTGTGAATGTTGGTGATATTTGTTTGGTGTGGGGTTTGGGGCCAAGCCAGATGGTGCTCAGGCCTTCCTCCTAACTGCACTCAGGGATCACTCCTGATGGGGTTTGGGGTCACATATGGGGTGCTGGGAATTGAACCCAGGACCCAGGGTGAGATTGCTCCCTGCCTGCTGTATACTTGCTCTGGCCTCTCCCATTAGCGTTTTTCTAAATTTCCTTAAGACTATTTTACTTCACTACACGCAGCCAACATGGCCGACCCGGGTTCGATTCCTCCGCCCCTCTCGGAGAGCCCGGCAAGCTACCGAGAGTATCTCGCCCGCACGGCAGAGCCTGGCAAGCCCCCCGTGAGGTATTCGATATGCCAGACACAGTAACAAGTCTCACAATGGAGACGTTACTGGGCCCGCTCGAGCAAATCGACGAACAACGGGAGGGCCTTTACCTTTACCTTACCTTACATGACCTACCAAAGTCCAATCCCCAGCACCCCAGAGGGTCCCTCAAGCACTTCCAGGAGTAAGTCCAGAGCACTGCTGGGCGTGGTCCAAAAAAACCAAACTAGCAGAAGGGAAAGCCTCTGTTCTTCCTCCATCTTTAGTGGCTCTCCTTTGCGCTGCCTGTAGGGAATAGTTGGTTCCTTTGGCTTTGGAAGCCCTCTGAACCCTCGAGGTGCCCTGGAAATAGTGAAAGCCCAGGGAATTATGGATGGAGGTACTGGACCGGGACTGGCATTTCCCATGATGCTAGACTCTTAAGCAACAGTTCAGGATAACTGTAATTGAGTTGTTAGTGGAACAGGCAAGCAGTTGATTCTTTTGTCAGGTCAGTAAAGCTTTGACTTGTAGATCTTTCAAGGGAGTTCTTATGAATTGAATTCTTATAACCTTAGGGTTGGAGGTAAAGGTGGTAATTATCATCTGTTGAATTTTGTGATAAGCTGCACTGTATACTTACAGTAAGCTTAAAAAAAAAACAACAACCAATCATTGTCTCCCCTTTAATTCTCATAACAGCTTCCAAGATAGTGCTGTTTCCATTTTGCAAAGGAGGAGAACTTGGCTTACCACGAACTAACATAACGGGACAAGACTAATAACTAGTGGTGCTGGCTTGGGGCCCTGGAGAGCGTGCGCTCTTTCCATTGTAGTGTGCTCTGCTATTTCCATCCAGTCTGACTGTCCGCTTTCTCAGAGGAGGAAATTTAGGCCTGGGGACATCAAGTGACTTGCTCAAGGTCACAGTCAGGCAGAAGCAACATTAAACCGAACTTTATCTCTGGGCTTTTATCTCAGAACTCCCCGTCCAGGATGGCCGTGCTACATCTCACTGAAATAACTTGTGCCCCCAGCCCCGCAGTGGGCAGAGTGGATACAAACGCGGCTCAGTGATACATCAGCAACAGTGGCCACTGTGTGTGCTAAGACCTCCTCCTCCTCCTTTCTCTTTTCAGAAATGTTGAAGAGCTCTGATGGGCTATTTGGGTGTTGCCCAGTGCAGTGAACTGCAGGTGAGTACGGCTCATGGGGATTTCCTCTCTTCATCAAGGATGCGGCAAGGCCCCAGCGGGACCAGAGACTAAGGCCGGGTGGAGAGTAAATTCCGAGCGGGCAGGGCCAGGCCGGGTGGCTGGGCAGTCCTGGGCCCGCGGTCCCTGAGGCGTCAGGCCTGATGGAAGCTGAGCAGATTCTGAGCTCTTAACTGCATGTGAGTGGGCCTTGAGAGGTCCATGGGTTTCTTGCCCTCCTGCGCTAGATCCCCCGGAGCTCCCCTGAATTTGACTAGGCATTGAAAACGTTATTGTCCCTGCTATCTATGGTTTGTCCTGAGTGACTGTGTGTGACTGCGTTGTGGAGCATCTAGGTACTGAGACCCCCTTGGCAAAAGCCAAGTTCCAGCTTCTTCCCCTCCCTGGCATTCCCTCCCTGGCGGTGCACCGTGTCACTTAGCGGTGTTGTGTCTTTGGAGAAATGCCCGCTAAAGATTAGTCTTGAATACTTATTATTTCATAGCAGTTTATCTTGGTTTATCACAGGATCTTGGCCTTTCATTATTAAGCTTCGAGAACGATAATGCTGTAGAAAAAAAAAATCCAGAAGACTTTTAATTTTGTTCTTCTAGGGTACTTGTGCTAAAATGAATTTTTGATAAATTTTTCGGTGCTAGTCTTTTGTTAGACATCACCAGCTCCAGCTGTTAATAAAAATGACGTGCTGTCTTGTCTTTTGGGTATGAGACACCATCTGCTTTTTGTCTGTTTGTCTGAAGCTTGAATTTTTTTGACTTTCTGTTGTTTGTATTTAAAACAAAGATTATCCCCCCTACCCCCAGTTTAATCTGCACCCAGTCTGCCCTCACTTATTCTTTGATTTGTCCTTGATTCTGTATTGATTTTTTAACTCTGGTCTAATCACTTCGGCAGCACACATACCAAAATAGTGTATGTTAAACAGTTGTGAAATGTTTGTTCTTCCCCTAAAAGGATTTTTTTTTCTTATTTGACATTAAATTAAAAACATATATGTATGCATGTATATATTGTTCTCTTTGTGTTGCGGGACCACACCCAGGGATGCCTGGGGACTCGGTCAGACTTGGCCAGCCCTGGCAGCCTAGGAGGCAATATACTGGGGTCAAGCCCTGCCCCCCACACCCGGAGCACACATGCCGGCATTGCCGCTGGACTCTGCACACACACGCTCCACTTGGCAGATCAGGATACACGTAGTCGAACCCTTTCCACTTACTCAGTCATGGAACAGTTGCACGCTCTGGGGTCACAATTTTAACTTACATTTTGAAAGACTGTAAAATATTAAGTCGTGTACTATGTTTTCTTTTTTCTAATCTCTTTGTTAGCTGTTTATATTTTTGTCTGTGTTTTGTTTAACTTTTATTTTTTATTTTTTGGTTTTGGGGTCACACTCGGCGATACTCCGGGGTTACTCCTGTCAGTGCTCGGGAGACCATGTGGGGTGCTGGTGATTGAACCTTGGGTGGACTGCGTACAAAACAAACTCTCTGTGTGCTGTACTATCTCACTGGCTTCTCCGGGGTAAATTTATGGATTCATTTATTTCTCTTTTCTTTTGGTTTTTGAGCCACACCTGGTGGTGCTTAGGGCTAACTTATGGCTCTGCACTTAGGAATCACTCCTAGCAGACTTGGGGACCATATGGTATGTTGGGGATCAAACCCAGGTTTGCCGCATGCAGGGCAAGCATCCTACTTATTGTACTGTATCACTCCAGCTCTGCTACTAGGATAAATTTTTTTGAGTGCATTATTGCACTAAATGATAGGAATGTAATATTGGTTTAAAAAAAACTACTTTTTTTTTTTTTTTTGCTTTTTGAGTCACACCTGGCATTGCTCAGGGGTTACTCCTGGCTTTGCACTCAGGAATCACTCCAGACAGTGCTCGGGGGACCATATGGGATGCTGGGAATTGAACCCAGGTTGGCCATGTGCAAGGCAAACACCCTACCCGCTGTGCTATTGCTCCAGCCCCCCCACCCCCCAGAAAAAATTCTTATGGGCCTCACTGGCAGTGTTGAGGGGCTGCCCCTGGCTCAGCGTGTGGGGGTCTTCCCATTGGGGCTGAGGGTTGGACCCTAGCCCTCCCACATGCAGACCGTGTTCTGAACCCTGTCTCCTCAGCCAGATGATAGGAATGTTTTTATGTTTTTAAATGAACGCAGTTTTCCAAGAATTTCAGTAGCAGGTCCAAGCTGCTATCTGTAGTACAGATACATTCATGTCCTGTCTCACTGTAACCGTCAGAGATACCTTTTTTCTTCTTTTCCCCTTCAAAGTGTTTGCCCATCTGAAAGCATAAAGGTGGGGAGGGAGAGGAGAAAAAAATAAGTAAAAGTGTAATGTCCTGCTTGCATTCCTTTGTTCTTTAATGTTGAAGTTTGTTCTTCCAGTCTAGTGGAAATTTATTCTTCTGGTAAATTGTTCATCTCCTTTGATTTTTTTTTTTTGCTTGCTTGTTTGTTTGAGGGACACATCCAGGGGTGCTCAGGGGCTCCTGCAAAGCTTGTCTTTTTAATGTTTTTAAATTTTTGGCTATACCCGGTGTACTGCTGGAGTGATAGCACAGCGGTAGGGCATTTGCCTTACAAGCGGCCAACATGGCCGACCTGAGTTCGATTCCTCCGCCCTTCTCGGAGAGCCCAGCAAGCTACCGAGAGTATCTTGCCCACAAGGCAGAGCCTGGCAAGCTACCCGTGATGTATTCATATGCCAAACACAGTAACAACAAGTCTCATGATGGAGATGTTACTGGGCCCGCTTGAGCAAATCAGTGAGCAACAGGAGGACCGTGACCGTGACCGTGACCCTTGTACTCAGGCCTTATTTCTGGTGGGGCTTGCTTTGGGAACCAGAGGGGCTTGGGGGCTCTGGAGTGCCAGGCACTGACCCCCGATTAGCGGCATATCTGGGGCAAGTGCCTCACCCACTGAGCTCTCCCTCCGCCCCTTGGAGCTGCCTCCTGCTCCCCTCCATCAATCTACCATGCTATGGATGTGGTCTTTAAAGACAAGTAGAAGCAGCTAATAAACTGGTGATTATTGAAAAAAAATAACGGGTTGGGATGAAGCTGAGTGATAGAGTGCGTGCTCTGCATGTAAGAGGCCCATGTGTCAGTTCCCGGCACACACACACACACACACACACACACACACATACACAGACACACACCCAAACCCAGGGCATTGCCAGTGAAATGTTCAGACTTGAGTCTGGAGAGTCAAGTGGTCTTGGGGATCTGTACAGGTGGATTCTTCTGATTCCGCTTGGCCAGTAACTGCGGGCACCCACTGTCTCCCCATGCCACAGTGTTCCCGAGCTCACCATTCTGCTGTCAGTCATCCCTGCAGGCAGGGATCGGCTGCCTGACACTGGTCCAGCTTGCTGGCATCCCTGCCTGCCCGCTGCTGTCCCTTTGTGACAGCTTCGAGGGCGGAGGGCAACTCATTCATGCAGACCACAGGGCAGAGCCTTTGAGGAGCTCCGTTGTAAAGGGTAGAGATGAATCAAACATCAGACAAAGGGAGAATCATCTGGTAGAGGGGGTTAAAAAAAACGAGTAAGAATTTTGTGGGTGCTATAAAAGAGGTTTGAACACGGAACTTACCGTGGAGGGGTTAAGCACAGTAGGAGCAACTGCTGCCCTGGGAGCATGTCACCCTGCCAGGGACCTTCTCAGCTGCCACAGGATGAGGTGGAGCAGGAATGGGAAGAAGGCATCGTAGAGAGAGGGCGGCTTGAACTAGGAGGACTGTGGGCTTAGGAAGGCGCCTGGGAACTGCAGATTCAAATTCCCGGGTGTCCTGGGACAAAGAATGGGTGGATGGTCAGGCTGTGCAGAGCTGGGTTAACCCTGTGTGGGGGGGTGTTTTAAAGTCAGATGAAGGATGTAGACGACAGCTGGGCCGTGAGCAGAAAGTAGAGATTGGGACTTCAGTCCGAGGGAGGGATGTTGCGGGCCGGATTGAATTGGTGACCTTGGGGATGAATGGAAAGGAGTGTTGGGCTCCAAGAGATATTTTGGAGTTGAACGGAGTGTGGTGACTAATTAGGTAGGAGGGGAAGGGAACAATCAGTTCTGTGTCTCAAGTCGGAGATGCTGTTGAGGTTTTCACGGCTGGGTGATATCAGGAGCGAGCGTTGGCTCGAGGGTTTGGAGTGGAGAGAGGGACGCTTCCGTTTTGTCTGTTGAGTTTTAAGGCGTCAGTAGACAGCTGAGACTGTAATTTTCTCTTTCGTTTTTGTTCTTGACCTGGCAGTGCTCAGGGCTTCCTCCTGCCTCAGAGCTCAGGATTTACTCCGAGTGGTCTTGGCGGACCATAGGGGGAGCTGGGGCTTCAACCTGAGTTGACTGTGTGTGAGGCAAGTGCCCTCCCCGCTGGACTGTTGCTCTGGCCCCTGAGACCATGCTTTGAGTCTTCGAAGGAATAGGTGAGGAGGCTCAGGGCTCCGAGGTATTGGAGGCACTGGTGAGGCTCCCCTAGGCAGCCAGCCCCATCCTCCCGTCCACTCAGGTGCTCCTGGGCCTCTGCCCCTGCCGCCCGACTCCAGGCCCCCAGCAGGACGGGGCCAAGGCCGAGGCCAGGGATATGGTAGGGGGAGAGGTCTTTATTGGAGATGAATTTTTTTTCTTCCTATCAAGGGAAACTTTCAAATAAACAGGAGTGGAAAGACCAGGGCTGGAGCGATAGTACAGTGGGCAGAACGTTTGCTTTGACTCCCCGACGTCCCATATGGTCCCCCGAGCACTGCCAGGAGTGATTCCTGAATGCAGAGCCAGGAGGAAGCCCTGAGCATTGCCGGGTGTGACCCAAAAAGTCAAAAAGCCGGGGAAAAAAAAAGCGTGACCATGACCAGCCCCACCCACCCTATAACTGTCCCACGTGTTTCCCACGTTCCATCTCTGTCAAGGTGTGTGCCGGGCTGTGTGGGGTGGCTTGACTGCCCTCGGGCCATGTGGGTTTGCAGGCCAGG